AGAATCCTCCCGCCAAGTTAAATAATGAGCGGAAGAGTGTCAGCGGCCCCAGGGGCCGGAGGATGTCATAGAGGCAGCTCATAAAAAGCTCATAAAAAGCGGGTGCTTCGTTTCCAGAAAGGAGGGGCTGGGTCTGTCTCCAGAGGCTAGGGCTAAGGAGATTGGGCAGGACCCAGCCTTGGATTCTTGGCATTTACTCGGCGGCACGGGTTTCTTATTTCCTCGCGTGTTCCTGGTTTATTATTTATAGAGCAGGAGGTGGGTGGCGGCTCCTTGGTAGGTGGGATGTGCAGGAAGGAGGCTGGAGCAGGCGGTGTCCCGGCACCCCTGTCCACCACCAAGGAGTCAAGGGGGAGGCCAGGAGTGGGTGCCAGCAAGGCTGGGGATAAGAGGAACCCAGCGAGAAGGTGTCAGCTGGGCAGAGGGAGAGGGGGAGGCGTGCTGGGAATCTCTGCAGTAATAATAGTGAGTCACCCCTCCCAGGCTGGCCAGGGGATACATGTCACCTCCCCTCCAGTAACATCACGAGAGAAGGTATTCTTACCCCCCACTTCCCAGATATGGGGCCTGGGACTGCAGAGGCATCGAAGGCCACTCTGCTTAGTGGCTTCGGGCCAGACACACAGTGCTGCATATGCCACAGGGCCGTCCGCTCCCACGAAGACTTACCATCTCGGAAACCCAAGAGAGGGTCACTGTGAGTCGGGGCCAACTCAGTGGCAGTGGGATCCTTATGGAAGCAGGCAGTCAGGCCTTTCTTCCAAAGTGCCACCGGGCTGGGCTGTGCAGACCACCACCCTTAGGATTTGTAGCTGAAGGTGAACTCTTTGCACCCTCCAGGAGAAGGCAGACAGAGAACTCTAGGGACAGTTGTCTCTCGGAAGCTGTGGGGTTGTTTCGTGTCAGAACTGACCCCAGAGGTGATGGGTTTGTGTTTTGTTTTCCCCTTCGGGGCACAGTACCTCCCGGAGCTCACAGCTCGGTGTAGTGTTCTACCCAGAGCTAAAAGGAGGCTGAGTAGGATGAACCAAGGGCTCAGTGGGTTACGCATAGGGCGCTAACGGCAAACCCACCAGCTGCTGGGGGGCAAGGAGGGGGAGAGCTGAGGCAGTCTGTGGCTGCAGACACTGGGAACCCGATGGAGCCATTGTGCACTGCTTGACAGCATTCAACTTGACGGCAGTGGGTTCATTATGGCCCAAACAGGGTGCGTTTGTGAATTGGGGCTCTCAGGCGTGTGAGCAGCAGAGCAGGGTCAGGAGGGCCGTAATTGGTCCAGAAGTCACCATCATGGTCTTTCTTCAGGTGACTAGTGCATCCAAGGGCCGGGAAATGCCCTCCCCACTGGCTTGCAGGGAGGCTGCTTCCTCCATCTGGCCAAGGCCTCCAGGGACTCCAGCCCAGGAGTTTCCCCCTACTCCCTCCTCGGGTGCCCAGGAAGGGGGTGGGCTGCTCTGAGGGAGTCCCGGCCCACAGTGGAGACTGGAGATGATCAGTGGGGCCCAGAAAAGGCATCAGGAGTACCCGCTCTGCCCTGGCTTCTCTGCACTTGGGCTGGGCCAAGGCACCCAGAGCTGACACAGGCTGGGCCACAGACAAGCAGCCAGGTTAGAGGCAGGGCTGGGGTGTGTGGGTGGGGATTCCTGGAGGTGGGGTTGAGGTTGCTGTGAGTCCTTCTGAGGGGTGACAGCCACACCTGTGCTAGGTAAACCTGGGCATCTTGTCTACCTGGCAGGGACGCTGTAGAAGAGATTCAATATCGGTTTAGCTTTACCATCCCAAACCAGACCGAACTCACTGCCATCGAGCCAATGCCAACTCCTAGCGACCTTATAGGACAGGGTAGAACTGCACACACACACACACACACACACACACACACACACACACACACACACCCCGTGAGTTCTTGAGACTAAAATGACAAGCCTGTCTGTAGTAGAAAAAGTAAGGCCAGAGGTGAGGATGGCAAGACTTTGTCTTCCATACTTTGGACATCATGTCAGGAGAGAGCAGCTCTGGAGAAGGGCATCGTGCTTGGTGAAGTGGAAGGGCAGTGAAAACGAGGAGGGCCCTCCAGAAGACGGGTGGCCATGGGTTGAGGCAGAAGAACAATCGTGAGGACGGCACAGGGCCATGCATTGTTCCTTCTGGTGTGCACGGGTTGCTAGGGGTTGACGCCCACTCGATGGCACCTCACCACCACCACCACCACCACCACCACCACCACCACCGCTCTTTACAGGCACAGAAAGTCTGTCTTTCTCTGGAGGAGCGGCTGGTGGTTTCAGACAGGGGGCCTTGAGGTTAGCAGCCCAGTGAGTCACCACCATGCTTGCCCCCAGGGCTCTTTAACTTGGGGTCACAGAAGTCCAAATCCTTTCCAAGTCTGTGACATCCGGTCGCTGGCTCCCTCCATGCCTGCTAGGTCTCCTCGCTGGTTCCTCGGCAGCCACCCCTATCTCCCCAGATGCTGGAGTGTACCGGCCTCGTGGGGACCCCATGTGGATGCAGTAGAACTGTTGAGGCGGGTTCGAGCTGGGATCTTTGGGAAGCAGATCACCGGACTGCCTCCCAAGGCCCGACTGGCTGGATTTGAACCATCAATCTTTGGGCTAATAGTGCAGAGTCCGCATCACCGGGGAGTCCTTCATCCACTCGTACCCCTCTCCAGCCCATTGTTGCCACAGCAAGAAGGCTGGAGCCAGCTTCCCTCCACAATAGTCAATCTGCTGCCCTCCTCTCTCTCTCTAGTCAATATGCTGTCTCTCTCTTTCACCACATCAGTGTTTCTCATCCACAAGAGACCTTTGCGAGTGTTTGAAGACTCCCAGGGCTCCCCGCCCCATCTCACACCTCCCACCGCTTTGCCCCTACGTTTCGGCTGTAACAACCTTCTTCTCTTCCTCCCACGTACCAGGCTCTTGCCCTGCGTGGAGACAGTTTCTTTGCCTCAGACACTCTTTCGTCCCTCCGTCCACCAGCCTCTTCCTGCTCACCCTTCAGCTCTTAGCTCAGATGCTACCTCTCCAGGAAGCTTTCCGCGGGTTCCCAGATCAGGACAGATGCCTCCGCACTAGCAGGGCTCCTACAACTCTGCGCCCCATCTGCAAACCCAGAACCACAGTGGAAACTGGACATCCGTTCGTGGAGATTATCTGGATTCGTGTTCATCTGTTGCGCTGCGTTGTCAACGCCACAAGGAAAAAGTCGCTCTATTTTCGCCTACTAGGCTACCCTTGGGTCACAATGCCTAAGAGATTCCCTGTGGTTTTTTTTTTTTGCTAAATGAATGACAATGGATTCCTGAAGTTGAACTGTTCTGGGGTTCCTGTGGCCTGAGATGGGGTTCCGGCAGGCAGGGGGTGGGTTGGGCATCAGAGTGCACTGATGCAATTGGGAGGAGCTGCTCTGTGGGGACCTGTCAGGCGGGGAGATGGATGGGTTGGGTATGGAGACGCCAAGGAGCCTCTCCCACCCCCTCCCACGGGCTGGGCTCCAGCGTGAGATGGGATTTGTAATGAGGGAGAGACAAGTGCAGGGGGTCTAGTGCAGCAGCCGCCTGTCTCCATCCTTTATCCATCTCCCACCTGAGGCCAGGAGAGCCAGCCTAGTCCCCCAATGTGCTGAGGCAGCTTCCACATGAGCTGGGACCAAAAATACCATCTCTTGGGTATAAACAATCACAGCGTTCTGTACACATACGAACACGGAAGAGCCAGTGTGGAGCCGGGGGTGGAGGGGTTGACCTGGAACGTTTGCAAACATCATGCCTCCGAACACCTCCCCTTTGAAAGGGACATCTGGAGCCCACTGCAACCCTTTCTTAATGTCCCCAAAGGCACTGGGTGGACAGCATTGCCCACAGCCGCCGCAGCACCCAAGCTCACCAGCTCTCACAAGCACACGGAGCCCCAGAATCACTTCGCATGCATCTGCCTGCCTATTGCACACACACCCCCCCCCAAACCCCACACCCTCACACAGCATTCCAGGCTTTCGGGCAGAGACCCGCTCGCAGGGCACGTGCACACAGGAGTCCTCTCCGACTTGCGTGCAGGAGCTAACTCATGCCAGTAGGTACTCGCTGTGGTCTCTTACTCACAGACCCATTGTCTCAGGGAACTAGGAGTCTCCAGGAGACCAGCAAAACACACACACACACACACACACACACACAGAAATTCTCCAGGGAACTTCCTGGTGCCCACCTGGGAGTGGAAACTATCAGGACGACAGAAGCTGTGCTGCCCCCCCACCCCCTCCATTGTTTGCTCCCTGGCCCTTTGTGTGTGAGGAGCCTGGCAGGACTCTTCCCCACCTCCCAATGGACAACAATCAGGGAGAAGCAGGGACTGGAGGCCCTTCCAGATTCTTGGGGAGGGATTCCATACTATCTGCAGAAAAACGACTTTTCTCTTCGGCACCCCCTCACCCCCACCCCCACGGGGTAGTTAATCCAGATGTATCCTCCTCCCTAAGAGTAAGAGCTTTGCTCCCTCAAACGCCCCCCTTCCAAGCTGCAAGGGGAATCCTCACTTCTCCACAGACCCTTCCTGACTGGCGAGCCCTCTGTTCCATCCTGTCACCCACCTGTCACTAGCTCCCTTGCTTCAGGTTCTTCTTCCTTGGTCTGCTCCCCTCCCCCAACCCTGCCCTGGGCTCTTTAATCTTTTGAGACCTCAACGAATGGGCTGATGTGAAGGGTGGTGGTCTGCAGGCCACCAGGGAGCTCTCCCGGTGGAGGACTCTGCTCCTCAGTGTGTCTAGGCTGTTTCTACCCGCGGATGACTTACTGGGGCCCAAAACTCATCTGGAGACCAGGTCTTGGGTGGAGGTGACAGAGCCTAGACCTTTAGGACGTGGGTCCACAGAAGAAAACCCCTTCCCTTCCCTCTCCCCGGCCCCCAGCTCCAAGAGGGGCAGCTCGAGAGGCTGCAGACTAAGACTTCCAGGCAGTCCTTCCTTCCCACCAAGGGCCTCAAGAGCCACACACTCACCCAACGAAGTAGGAGATGATCAGAAGCTGAACTGCCCGGTTGATGATCCCAATGGTCCAGCTTTTCACAACCACCGACTTCGTGGTCTCATAGGTGAAGAAGTCAGAGAGGCAGTTCATGCTGAGGGAGTGCTCAGGGGTCACACGGAGGGGGCCCAGGGGCAACCTCAGGAGGGAGAGGTCTTCAGGGTAGGGAGATGGAGATGGAGAGAGGCCTGGAGGGGCTGCTGAGAGGGGTTGGGCAGGGGGAGCCTATTCCTTTAAGCCCAGTGCCCAGGCTCTCTCTGCTCTTGACACTGTGGATTGCCAAGAGTCTAGGTCCAGGGTGGGAGGACCCCCTTTTTGTTTGTCTCCACCCCACTCTGCTGTGATGTCACGGCAGGGCTGGGTCTCCAGTCCTGGGCTCCTGATTGCTTGGGATGCAGCTGGCTAGGGCCCTCTGGGACTCATGTTTTATCTGCATACTGTCTACGGTCTCTGCTCCCTTCTCTTTCGCTGCAGCTGACCAGACCAGCTGCTTCATGCCCTCTCTAAAGCCCCTGGTAATGTCCCACCCCCCAGCCACCTCATAGCCTCCCTCAGCCCGGTGGCCCCTTCAGTCCTGAGAGGATGCCTAATGCCATCCCATTCTGCAGGCATCCCCTGCCTTCCTGAGTTGCAGCCAAAAGCATGGGACCCTTAAGGGGTTGGGGTGGGGGGGCTCTTGCATGTCTCTTAAGTTCTCCTGGAGGGTGGGGGGGTTAGTGGGGGTGGGGGTAAAGAGCCACATATTTCTAAATGCAGCTGCCTGAAGTTCTACCCGGAGCATGGCAATTAACACCTTTTAAACACAATGGTCTATTTATTGAAGCCATTCATTAGATTGTGTGCTCCTGGAAGGCTGGGGCTGTTTCCACTTTGTTCATGAGCCTAGCAATGTGTTGAATGAACACTAGGGTATGATACATGATTTGATGCAATTGAATTTGCTTAGATTTTGCTGGAACAGCCACTATCCTCAGGTTAAAGGTATGTATTAATTCAGGGGCCAACGACACATTCTCCCTTTGTCTCTTACTCCAGGACTGAGTTAGTAGGCTGTCTGTTTCAGGTAGATTGTCCCGGGCATTATGGATTAAGATATTTTGGCCTAATGTCATACGCCTCTTGTCAAGTATTCTGAAGGTAGAGTCACTATGAGTATGGCTGGATTGGGACAAGGAGGCCAGCTGGACTCTCTTCTTCAAGTCATGCAGATTTTAGGAAACCGCTTTCTGTGCCACGGTTTTTGCATCTGTGAAAGGAGGTTGGATTCCATCAACTCATGGGTGTCTCTTCCGGGTATGGTTTTTGGTTTTGCAAGATATACCCTGGGGCTAACAGAGGTGGGGTCTGGCTTCGGTAGCCACAGACTGATGGTTCCAAATCAGTTCTGGCTCCAAGGTGAATCTGACACTAGCACTTGAACTCCGTATTGCTGTTTGCCAACCAACCTTTTCCGAGTCCCAATCAAACCCACTGCCACTAGGTCGATTCTGACTTATAACACTCCTACAAGTGCAGAGTAGAATTGTCCCACTGAGTGCATAGGCTATATATCTTTACGGTACAACACGGGAGCAGAAAGTCTCATCTGGCTCCTTAGGAGAGGTTGGTGGGTTCCAAGCGCTGACCTTGTGGTTAGTAGCCCAATGCTCAACCCACTATGCCATCAGGGCTCCTTAACCTGCGACTATAGGCATAAGGTTTCTGGGTGCATCCTGTGAATGACCTCATTTTAAAGAGGGGACAAGTCCCACGCGGCACATTGTCACCAATACCGGCATTCTCTTTGCAGCCGGTGGGAGAGGTCGTTTTCTCGGCAAGTTTGAAATATTTGTCTTCTTGTTTCACAGACTCCGTTGTACTCCACAGAAACCCCTATTGTGCAGGAGAGAAGGAGGCGCTGGCAGGGCTCCCAGCGACCACACGTAAGGAGAGTCCGACGGTTTCCCCCCTGGGACCCAACAGTCCTCTGAGGAGCGGAGTCTGCAGCATTCTGAAGGCCCCGCGTGCTCCCCCTTTCTGGTCGAAGCCCACCTCGGCGGCCGCGCCAACTTCACCACGCCCTCGCCTTCCTCGGGACGGGCGCTCTAGGCGACAGTCTCGCCGGCGGACCCAGCCAGCGCCCCTCTAGCCCGCTCCGACTCTCTATGGTCTTGCCCGGCTTCCGGTGGCGGGACGCGGGGCCGCGCACGCGGGA